CTCTTGAGAGTCCCCTGGACTGCAAGGAGAACAAACCTATCCATTCTGAAGGAAATCAACCGTGAGTGCTCACTGGAAGGACAGATCCTGAAGCTGAGGCACCAATACTTTGGCCATCTCATGAGAAGACTCCCTGGAAAAGACCCTGATGTTGGGAAAGTGTGAAGGCAAGAGGAGAAGGGGACGACAGAGGACGAGAAGGTTGGACAGTGTCATTGAAGCTACCAACATGAATTTGACCCAACTCCGGTGGCAGTGGAAGACAGGAGGGCCTGGCGTGCTCTGGTCCATGGGGTCATGAAGAGCCGAACATGGCTTAAAGACTAAACAACAACAAAAACAACAGCCTTGAGAAAAGAAGGCTGAGGGCTGATATGATAAAGGTAAAGGTTCCCCTTGACATTTAGCTCAGTCATGTCCGACTTTAGGGCGTGGTGCTCATCCCTGTCTCCAAGCCGTAGAGCCAGCGTTTGTCCAAAGACAGTTTCCATGGTCACATGGTCAGCACGACTAGACACGGAACGCCATTACCTTCCCACTGTGGTGGTACCTATTTATCTACTCACATTAGCATGCTTTTGTACTGCTAGGTTGGCAAGAGCTGGGACATGTGACGAGAGCGCAGTCCACTGCATAGATTCGATCTTATGAATGCTGGTTTTCTGACCTTGCAGTACAGAGGCTTCTACGGTTAACCCACAGTGCCACCACGTCCTGGTGATATGATAGCCCTTTTCAAATATTTGAAAGGCTGTCATACAGAGGAGGGACAAGATCTGTTCTCGATCATCCCAGAGTGCAGGACATGCAACAATGGGCTCAAGTTAAAGGAAGCCAGATTTCAGTTGAGTATCAGGAAAAACTTCCTGTTAGAGCAGTACAACAGGGGAACCAGTTACCTCAGGAATTGGTGAGTACTCCAATACTGGAGGCATTCAAGAAAACCTTGGATAATCACCTGGCAGATATGTTTTGATTGTATTCCTGCGTTGAGCAGGGGGTGAACTTGATGGCCTTTGCAGGCCCCTTCTAACTTCACTTTTTTATGATTCTCTGATATGTATATATTTTATTAATATTACGATTTGTAGCTATTTTGAAACCCTGTGGTTGGCAACAAGTCTAAAACCGGTCCCAATTCATTTTCCAAATGTTGTACTGGATTAAACGGACCAAATGCCAGAAACGTTCACTACTGCTGTTGCTGTTACTCTTTGCTGTTTATATTTCTTGCTATTGTTTTGTCACTATTCTTTTCACTGTTTATCCCCGCATGCATTTATCCAGGGCAGATTCCATTTAAAAAAAAAAAAAACCACAGCCCGGGTACAGACCGACTATCCCTTCTGTAGTTCGGAGAAGGCAGCGCTTCCCGAGTGACGTCATAGCCGTGGCCAATCAGCCTCTGAGGAGGGCGTGACGCTATGCCTGAAAGTTCCTTTCTCTAGGGTAGCACTTCTGGAAGCCAAGAGCCCTGGCCGGCCCGCGCGTCCTATTTTTAGCAGGCAGCGCGTGAACTCCGCGATCCACAGAAAAACACGTCCTTCCAGTTGCTCTCCGCAGATACGAAAGCTGGTCTCCGCCGGCGGCGGAACCAAGAGTAGCGCGTTCCTTCCCTCATCTTTTGAAGCTGAGCGTTAAATTTAGATAAAAAGAGTGCCTTAAATACGAGTGGGAGCAGAGGCCCTTTGGCATCTCTGAGACTCGGGTCAGGGATTTCCCCCCCCCCATCCCAAAGAAAAGTGCTGCATGAGTTTGTCTGAGTCCATTTTTTTAAAGAGTTGGGGATGGACTGCCTTTATGTAAATTTCCCAAACCGACATACCCGCGGCCTGAAATTGGGGGTGGGGGCATGGGAGCTCAGCTCAAAGCAATCAACACAGCCACTATTTCATGCTTTGGGAAAACAGGAAGTCCCCCCCACCCGTGTCGATTGCAAAAAATAAAAAAATAAGAGAGAGAGAGAGATCTATGCCTAAATATTTAGGCTAAGTGCATCTCGCTCCCTATACGGTCTCTTGATCCGAATCTAGCCCTCCAACTTGTTGCCGCCTGGGCGGGCAGCCGATGCTCTCGGCCTTTCGGCTAGAAAAGTCGCCCGGAGTTCCGCGGGGCTTCCTGTACGAAGGAAAGACCCGCGGTAAACTCAGCGGAGGCCAAGAGGCGAGACGAACCGAGGAGCCACACTCAACTTCGGAGGGGCTCGAGCGCGGGGGAGAAGCCGCAAGAGAGCGGAGCGAGGAGGAGCAGGAGGGGAGAGAGAGGCAGCTGCAATTGCCGCGCCACCACCCCCCACACACCCCGCCTTCGCTAATTGCGGCTTTCGCCCCTGTGCCTTCCTCTCTCCTTACCCGAGCGGGGCCGGTGTGGAGGAGGAGGAGGAGGAGGAGGAAGAGGAAAGCAGGAAGGTGGTGGTTGCAGGAGGAGATCGTCCGAGGGAGGCGGAAAAGGAACAGGGGAAGAGGAGGAGGAGGGCGGCTCGATGTTCCTGGGCCCCCCGCCTTCCCCCTCCCTTCCCTACCCGGTCCCGGCGGCAGGAAAGGAAGGGGCAGGCAGGGAAAAGAGAAGGGAGGGAGGGAGGGAGGGAACGAACTCTCCGCTTGCCTTGCCTGGCCTGGCCTGTGGGGAGGAGGAGGGGGAGGGGCCCGGAGCTGTTGCTCTCGCCGCCGCCGCCGCCGCCGCCGGGCTGCTGGGGCTGTGCTGAGCGGCCGTAGCAGCGCTGGGGCCTTGGACACGTCGAGTCGGGAAGAGGAGGAGGAGGAGGGAGGGAAGCAGGAAGGAAGGAAGGAGCGAGCGGGGGACCAAATCCCGTCAGGGAAGCGGGGTGAGGCCCGGCGGCCGCTCAAGGAGGACGCGGCCCGATTTCGCCCCGGCCCTCTGGGCGAAGGGAAAGGAAGGAAAGGAAGAACGAGCGAGCCGGGCGGAGGTGGTGGTGGTGGGGGGGAGGAACCCGCCGCCACCGCCGAGACAAAGAGCGGAGCCCGCCGGGGAGAGGAGCCCTTGCTTGGCCGCCGCCTCCTGCT